GCTCAAACACAACTCCATTATTGTAGCGTCCCGACGCCAATAACCAAATTCAAACAATTTTCACTTAAAGTTTGAGCTTCGTCGAGAGTGCGCGTTGAAGGATTGGATTTCAATTTTTATCATATGTGAATAAGAGAATGAGTGTCTTCAAATGTCCAAAAGATAGGAGAGGCTTAATTGTGGTGTAATTTGTATTATTATTATTTTTTTATTTACGTTGGATTTCCTGGTGTGATGTGGCTCCGTGGTTTTTTTCTGCTCTGGTTATTTTCCACGTTAAATCTTGTGTTCTCTATATTTTCTAGTTTTGTGTGCTTATATTATAAATTTTGCTTATGATCTCTAGAATCGATTTCATGTCCCTCACAACACCAAATAACACCACAATTATTGCCCTATCATTGACATACATGAGATATTTAATAAAATTAAAATGATATATATTTAAGATTAAAATGTATTTTTATTGTGAGCATTTGCATGTATAACACAATTTTTGTATATTTACATATCTAGCAACTAAATCTTCATAATTAAGACAAATTCTTAATAATATATAAAAAAAATATTATTATTATTATTAACTGTTAAAGATAAAGGAAACATTTTCATGCATAAGCTTATAAGTATAAATATAAAACTTTAGTTGCACATATGTAAATGCATAGGAATTATGTGATGCGTATGTAATTCTTCCCTTTTTTATTTTGCGGTATAATTACATAAATAGCACTTTCCATTTTATTATTTATAAAACTAGCATCTTCGTGATTTTTTTAAACAACCAAACTGATGCATTCACAAGCATTGGGAATTTGATAAAAAGTTAAAATCATGAATTTTGATATTTGAGGCAGAATTTGTAAAATGGATGAAAGCCTTCTTTTTGACATACATACCATATAATTCTTATGTATTTACGTATCTAACACTTAGAATTTGATATTTTCATTTATAACATTTTGGTGTTATGAATTTATGTATGAAAAAAAGTGTTTTTATTTTAAAAAATATAATAATAGGAGTATCTTGAACATGCACCTAAACTCATGTTTTGAGTATGTTTGTCAAAATGGCTCGTTGTTCGCGAACAGCTCGTGTTCGGCTAGTTAAAAAGCTCGTGTTTGGCTCGTTAATTTCGCTCGATAAGTTAACGAGCCGAACACGAACTAAGATGTGTTCGTTCGTGTTCGGCTCGTTTTGGCTCGAAATACTACTCATCAAGTTTTTATATATATATATATATATAAAGTAATATTTTAAAAAAATCTAATTGACTACAAAGCTACAAAGATTTATAATCAATTAAAATATTGATTAAGAAAATAGAATAAAAATTATTAAATTAGATTCAAATGATGTTTTAATACAAATAATAATTTTTAAATCTTGCTCAAACCCTTATTGTCTTATGGCTACATGATTAGG